TCTTCATTCAGTGCAGAGCCACTCTTTGGTTCTGCAGCTCTCCTAAAATATTTTAAATGAAAAACTATTGCCCCGTTTTTTGTTTCATTCTTTTCTGCACCCTGGCCTCGCCTTGTAAATTTGGTCCAGAACCATCACTGGTCCATGAGAAAGACCAGCGTAATCGAACAAAGATTTACATCATGTCAAATGACTAGAAGCAAAACTTTGTATTTAATTTATTCGAAGTATAGGAAGCGTGGGGTAAACAAATATCTATGTCAGGCAAACAGCAGTTATTATGGCATTATTATCGCAACTAATCATCTAGCAATATACATCAACGGCGGCTAATTTAGCAGAACACTGGGTACGAGTTTGCAAGTGTCTCCCACAGTGTAACCCATAAGGGCGACACTGGCGATGTTAGATCTGTTGCACTCTGTGCTAATCTAGTATCTTAAGATAACAGTAACAAGTAGCATAGCAGCTAGTTAGCCTATGTATGTACTATTTTATGTATGTACTAAATTTAAGCTAACCCAAGAGTTTTGCTTCGGATTATTTGAAATGATGCTGAGCATCTGTTTGCTCTGCTTCTGCAGGTCTAGATGCAGCAGCATGGCTTTACCAAACCCAAAATATCAATCTGTATTTGATTTCTCTGGCCTTTCACAAAGACCTTGATGAGTGGCAAGAAACAAATGTGAATTTTAGAGTTAGAGCTGAATGCAGTAAATTCAGTTTGAGATTTCAATTCAATTATTAGATTCTTTTTTATTTAGTTTAAGTTTTAAATTCAGTTTTATTTTAGTGAAATTTTATGGAGCCCCTCTGATGACATGGTCAAAAAAATGTTTTTATTGTGGCCACGAAGTAGTATTTCGTGGCTACGCAATAAGTATAACGTGCGCACGAAATGCTACTTCGTGGCCACGCAATAAGTTTAACGTGCGCACGAAATACTTATTAATAATATTGTTATCATTCCTGGACAACTGGGTAAGCAAATTGAGCGCGCCTTCTCTAAGGTCTAAGGCGCGCTGGATTTGCTTACCCAGTCGGTCTCCGCCAGTCACGTGACATTTGTTGCTAAGACGCCATTTTAGGTGGAAAAGGCGTGGTGTAAACAACCGCAGCGTAGCTAAACGAAGGACTAAAGGCCCGTTTACATAGCAGCCTGTCTAAGATAAGTCATTACAGTTAACATAAGCCTGAAAACAGGGGCGGATTTATTGATATTATTAAGTATTATCTGCGCACGTTAAAATTATTGCATGGCCACGAAGTAGTATTTCGTGCGCACATTATACTACTTCGTGGCCACAATTAAACATTTTTTTTGACCATGTCATCAGAGGGGCTCCGTAGAAATTAGCTTTTAAACTAAAACATTGTATTTCAGATTTAGAAATTATATACAGATTCACTCTGAGCAATTCAAATTGAGTTTCTGATGTTAATGAAGAATCAGCCTTGTTTTCCTGCCGTCTAACATCCCCCAGTGCACAGCTCACGTGGCTAAGAGGAGATCTTAAAAGCGATATAGATGATCAGCCTTCTTTAGCCTCTATTTATACATTTCGTGCTGCCAAGTCATGTTTTGTCAGCATCGTGTTTGATTAGATCTTCTTGCCGTGTACCTGCTGAAGCCCTCGCAGACCCTGAAAAGTGATGGAGACCTCTCCCCCTGCAGCAGATCAGGCCTGGATAGATATCAAAAGAGAAAATTACATAACGTGATGTTAAAACATGCTGGTTGGGCAAAGTCCTTCCTTTTATTCAATTTCACAGAGATTAGTTTTGATCTTATTCGCCGTGTTTTTTTTTTGTTTTTTTTAAGACCATTCGTCACTTTCAGCTTTGAAGTTGGGATGGGGGAGGGGGGAGGTTTTAGAGCAAGGTAGGTGTAGGGCTAAGAGGGTCTCACTAATCCTGTGACAAAAAGACACTGAGACATGCTCCGTCTCCCACCCTGATCCACAGGGACCAGAAAAGTAGGCCAGCCTCGGTGTGAGGCTGCTGTGAGGATCAGGACGCTCAAGTTGTTGACTTGTGATCAAAGTTGAGTTGTGTTTTTTTTTTTGCACACTTTAGATGTTGGAAACTCTTGCAGAAATAGAGTCTTAAAATACATATTTCTGTCACAAATATGCACAAATGAAAATACACAAATGTAGGACACATTTTCATAAAATAATTTTTTTTCCCCAGCTGAATGAAGCATCATTTAGCCAAGAACTCATATATCTCTATGATGGTTGCTGAACATTTCACTCTGCCTGCATCGTCAAAGAGAAACATAAGAGGAAGCACCCAAAGAAAATGGTCTGATATGAATATGACGCTGAACACATTTATTTAGGAGGGGCAGAGAAGGTCAGTCCATGGAAAGAAGGATAAAGTTGAATACTGATGGTGGTGGGGGGGCTTACCTCTGCAGGACATTAATGCCAGACATACAACCAAAGCTACTGCAGAGAGTTTTAAATCATTAAAGATGATTGCATTGTTTAAAAGTAATGTAAAATTTTCTTTAGCCATTTTGAGAAAAGAAATGGACAACATTTAATTTTTTTAGAGTGAGATGTAGTTGAATGAGAAGTCTTGGTAGTTGCATTTATACTGTGGTCAATTTTTGACATTATGGGAATTGTTTAAAAAAAAATAAAGAAAAACACACAAAACATGGAAATAATCTACCTTTAGTTCTGGACAGGGGCTGAGAGGGGGCAGTGCCCCTGTTAAACTAGTCTTGGCTCCTGTTATGGCCCCTGTACAGAAGAGGGTTAGGGCCACTGGAAAAAAAAAA